TTCGGAGATTTAAAAAAATTTTATATTAATTAAAGATAATATTTCATTCGAAGAAGGATTATTATTTTATAATGATAGAATTATTATTCCCGGTAATTTAAAGAAGGAGGGTCTTAAATATTATTCATCAAGGATATCCTGGGAGAGTGGGGATAAAATCATTATGTAGATACTATGTTTTTTGTCTTGATAGTGATATTGAAGAGTTTGTTAAAAGCTGCAAGAGTTATCAGGAAGGAAGACCGGTATCCAGAGAAGTGCCATTATACAATTGGAACATTCCTACCAGACCATGGGAACGAATACACATTGATTTGATAGACACCGTATCTGGAAAATATTGGTTAATTTGCGTGGACTCTTTCACCAAATGGGTTGAAGTTGCAATTTTAACACATCTTAATTCAACGAGTGTAATAAATAATCTGCGTAATTATTTCGCTAGATTTGCTTTACCTCGTTACATTGTCTCAGATAATCTTACTCAGTTTACTGGATTTGAATTCAAAACGTTTCTTTTTAAAACAATATAAAACATTTTAGATCGGCTCCTTATAGCCCCAAATCAGATGGTTTGGCTGATCGTTATATGCGTACGATAAATACGCGTTTCTATGCTGGAAATAGAGGTGTGACTCCGCACCAGTTGAATTTAGGTAATGTTATAATTACTCATCGAAATAATCTAAATGCAGCAACCAGTAAATCCCCTGCCGAAATGATGTTTGAAAGGCCGCTCAGAACGACGTTAGATCAATGGAAATTATCTACAAGTGAAAGGACTGAAAACGCATTATGGAAACAAAAATATTATAAAGATGGGAACTTTGAGCCCAGTGAATTTAAAGATAAGCAGAAGTTTTGGGTAGAAAACGAAAGGATTGCGGGATGGCATGAAGGGACAGTGATTCAATGGAAAAGTTATTGTATGATGTTGAGTCTGAGTGTATTGTAAAAAACAAGCATGCCGACCAAATGAGGGATGCTCATGTAAAAATATTTAAATTTTTATTTTTTTTATTTAAAAATAAAATACAAAAACATTTTTATCGATCAAAAGAAGGAAAGAACAAATCGCATTAAACTTAAAATGTTAGTTAATATTAATTTAAATATTATTATTCTTGGATGAAGAGCGATGTCTGATTAATAACTAAAATAAATTATGTTATGTCAACTCAATAGCTGTCATGTTTTATTTTATAATTGTTTTAGTAACTTTATTACCTGTTGATATGACCGATTAATACTAACCTTTAAATTGTTTTTTTTATGTTTATATAAATTGATTTTTTTTTAATATAAATTGTGTAGATTGATTTTTTTATAGATTAACATGAAAATTGTTATATAAGCCTGATTTTTTAGTTTGATAAGAAAATGTAAAATTTTAAAATATATTATATAAAAATAAATTATTTATTACAAAATAAAATAAAAATAATCTCGTAACAATCATTTATTTTAGAAAACTTTATGGTGGCAGTTCCGCTACATATTCGAGGAAATCGTAAATAAATAAATAAATATTAAACAGTTTCCCAATAATAATGTTAATATAAATATTGAATTTCCAATATACCCAGGCAATGGCGATCTTTTTTTGAGTAGATTCGAAGACATCTTCAAGGACATCCAGATCTCGGAAATTTAAAAAGCAGGTTCCTTTACGAGAAGACTACCAGATGAGTTATATATCAAATTAGACGAACTAAATAAAATTGGGCTATAGTGACTTACAAAATATTCTAAAATCCACAGACAATATGATTTTAGCTATTGGAACATGAACAACTAGATAAAAAAGTTCTGGAATGTTATATTTATTTCATTCTAAAAACACGTAAGAAATGATTTATTTGAAAAAGTGAAGAATAATTAAAAAAATTTAATGATAAATCTCTTAATTATGAATAAACCTATATGGGACAATAATAATAAAACAAAGTCCATTGACAAGTTAGAAGATTATTTAAAATTTCATGATAGTAAGAATACTCTAAGCTTAATAGGTAATTTACTAGATGAATTTTATTTAGTCATGAAAGTAGTGTTTCCAAGAGAGTTAAATTCAAGTTATGATGAAACATTATATACATTAAAGTGTTTATGTAATTATAAATCGGTTACAGAAATAAAAGAAAATTGTTCTAATAAAAATTTTAGTAAATCTTATGAGAATTATTATAAAAATAGAAAATTAGATACATTATTATAAAAGATATTATCATTATAATTGTAAATCTTTTAGTATCAAAAAATTAAAACCCAATATTCAAAAGGAAAGTGATATTTATAAATTAAAAGAAATAAATTATATGATAAAATTTGAAACATTTGTGATTATAGAAAATAAGGAAATAAACTTTAAAGAAAATAAGGAAATAATCATTAAAAAAATTAATGAAATAAAAAAAAACTTTTACTAAATGCGATAAAAAAAAATTGAAACTTATAAATTTGAAAACAATTAAAAGTATCACTAAGAGAAGTCATATAAAAACTAAACGTCTTCATTCTAAAATAATACTCAAGGATGTGATGAAGAGATCTTTTTCTAAAAATTTAAGGCTCAAAAAATTATTTTTTACTAAAAACAATCTTATGAATAATTATTAATTCAAAATACTTTTTAAATTAAAAAATAAGGGCATAAAGTTTAAATTTCTGAAGAGAGAGATGGATGTACAGAAGTACATATCATCTTATCATCTTTTATTAAAAAAAATATAAAAAATAAAAAAAAACGCTAAAAATATTATCTAACAATCTTGTTGATTTATCATCCTTTTATTATTACATCCAAATTTGATCGATTCTCTAATTATTCATATATTCCGTAATTCTATTTAATAATGATAATTTTACAATTGGTGATAATAACAATTTTGTAAAATTGACAATGATAATGACGGTGCTTAACGACGAGCCAGCGTACTCAGAACGATATTAACAAACCAACGTGATAGAATCAAGCCAACGACTATAATGACTTATGAACGACTTGAACAATCATATGCACAACCAAAATAAATATCATTTTCCAAGACGAAACTATGACAGACTGCACGATAAGATTCACATGCAAGAAAAACCTGAGTGGAGATCATTATTTTAAAAGGTGGAATGTTGATATGACCGATTAATACTAACCTTTAAATTGTTTTTTTTTATGTTTATATAAATTGATTTTTTTTAGTATAAATTGTGTAGATTGATTTTTTTTATAGATTAACATAAAAATTGTTATATAAGCCTGATTTTTTAGCTTGATAAGAAAATGTAAAATTTTATAATATATTATATAAAATTAAATTATTAATTTAAAATAAAATAAATAATCTCGTAACAATCATTTATTTTAGAAAACTTTATTACCAATCATATCATTATAAAAGTCATAGATATACATTTGGCTCAGTGGTCTTCTGGGAAATTAAACATTCTATCTTTTGCTGACGATCTATGCCTGGTTGGTGAATCGGTGTTGGCTATCCAATCACATCATCATAGAGGCAGGATATTTTGGTTTAATATTAAATATAAACAAAACGAAAATGATGACGTTTCTTTATACTCCTTCATTGTAACCTTAACAATAGAAAAAAAAAAGATCACTGATGTGTCTATTTTAAAATATTTAGGTGTATTACTTGATAAGAAAGGTTGTATAAAACAGGATCAGCTGGTAAACTATACAAATCCAGGGCAAAGTACGGGTCCTTGATGAAAATTTGGACATCACGACAACTATCTATTCCCTTATAGATTAGATTATTTAAAATTCTTATAATAGCTTCCCTCTATTATGGTTGGATAATAGTAAGACGCAGATATTTATAAATAAATGCCTAAGATATATTACTAGGACTTTTTACTTACTAAATACTACTAATTATATGTTATGGGCGTGATATCCTTCCTCTTCATAAAATGATCAAATATAGGAAAATTGAGATGGTTGGTCATATATTAAGACATTCTTCTAACAATCTAATCCATCAGGCGCTTGTAAACAAATCTCAGGAAGAGACTGCTCTTAAGCATTTCTAATCTTATATAGGCATTGGCAGAATTATAAGGTCTTTGGGGGAGTTAGATCTATCTTGGGAATTTTTAAAAAGATCTTCGGCGGATAGGAAAATCTTCAAATATATTCTGAGACTTATTTACGAGCATATGACAAATAACTGCTAAACGAGGTAAAAAATTAATAAATTATATTCATTACCTACCAAGTATTTTTAAATTATTAAGACAGTTAGCTATTATCCTAGAAAAGGAGGTTCTTTAAAGGGAATCCCCATTATGTTTTATATTGAACTTTATTATTCCTAACTATTCATAACCTATCTTAATTACTAGGCTATGTTTATATATTTGATACCTATTAAAAGATGTCTTATATGTAAATATAAGTTACTATTCTATTATAGTTATGACTTAATTATAATAAGTGAATGAATTGTCGTATTTTCTGTAATAACTATTTACTGATTAAATTTCTATATTTATAAAGTAATATAATCGATCGTGATTATTTTTGGTAATAAATTAAATTAAATAATCGCGATATTCAATTGGATATCTGTAAATATTTAAACATCATGAGATAAAACTGGTTATCTGTAAAATGATAATGGCTCCCTTAAAGTTTTTTAAATTAAATTAAATTTTAATTAATATTTGATAGTTGTATTTGGCATACTTTAAACCAATGATATATATCATTGCTTTAAACAGTATTTTTTATATCTATTCTATTTCTCCCTATTTTATATTTTTTCTTCTACTATATTAAATTATTTACTATAACAGTATAGGGTTAGTTCCACTCATATTTTAGTTTCATCTGGGTACAAGGTTTGTCTGTATGGCCTTCATATAATTCATGTTCGCTCATTTTGGGCAGGTCTATGACCAACGTGCTAGATAAGATGAGATAAGATAAGAAGATTTTTTATAGAATGGCTTACAAAAGTTGCATTCACGTGGAAGAATTTAAAAAAAGAAAGAATTGTATTAGAAATTTAACTAAAATGCATGAAAACTTTATTTTGGCTTCAAATAGGCTAGCTAAAAAGAACAAAGTACAGTTATATATATTCTCATTGACTAATATCTAAATAGAATCAAATTCCAATAAAATGCTTTGATTGCAATATGCATGCTACGCGTTTACATATTTGTTTATCATGCGTTTATATAGGATGCTACAATAAAAATCATCACATACATAAACACATCCAAAACACAGCTCACATACTTGGTATTTAGTCTAGTAAATTTAAAATATTTATAGTAAGGTAACAGCTATGGATGCTGAATATGGAATTATTTATTGTTCAAAATGTAACGATTATATTTATGACCCCTTGAATGAACAAATACTTTTAAAGGCTTATATCAATCTTGGGAACTCTATAGGTATTTGAATGCATATTTATTTTATATAAATATATTTACAAGGTTATTTAATTATTAGATCAAACAATTTATAACAGAAATTTATGTTATTAAAAAATCATAAACCTACAAATACATGCCTAAGAGTTTTGATATCAAGATAAACCGAACTCGCTTCTTATATATTTAATTTCATTTGAAGCCATTTATAAAATACAGCCAGTATTATTAAAATGTCCAATTTAAAATTTTAATTACCTGAGTCAGGCTTACATGGTTGAACTTAATTCTTTCCACATGACAATCAGTTTAATCTATCTATAACCAGTTTTTTTTTTAGTTTGGACCATATTATTATGTATTCTTACATTACAACACTTCATTGAGATATAAAATTATATGATTTTATTATCAACTACAATATATAAAATAATTTTAAAAAAATTTTGAAATCATAAGTTAGTTTTTCTACATTTAAATTACCATATTATTTTCTTTAATTTGACTCCCATTCTAGCTAAAGCAAAAATTGTTATAAATTGGGAATCTCACATATCTTCCAGAAAAATTTTAAAGCAATATTTAAAATAATTTTATTAGATGCTAAGAAAATAGGTTCCTTATTTAAATTGATTTTTTTTAAAAAAAAGGAAATATTTTCAAGATTGCCAAATAAGTTGAATTTGGAAATTAAAATATTTTTCAGACTGCAGAGGTACCATTTGCATGACCTGGCCTGGATTTTTTTAAAATATAATTTCAGCCTGGCCTGGATTAAAAAAAAAATTTCAGGCCTTGCTCAGATTATATAAAAATGTATTCTATTTTTAATTTTTATATCTAATAATGACAATTTAAAATATACAGCTCGACCTGGATATTTTTTGAAAAAATTTTTTAGGCTTGGCCTGGGTATTAAAAAATTTTATTTAGGCCTGGCCCAGGTAAATTAAAAAATAAAATAAAATACCCATGTACCTGGGCTGGGCTTAGAGCCAGACCTGCAGGTATCTGATATTTCTTCCATTTTTTCAATTTTTTTAAGAATTCAATTTAAATACCAATGTTTACTTCCCTATCGTCTATTAATATTATTTTCTATATTGCTTTAAAAAAATTGTAGGAGATATAAGCAAAATTTCCAATTTTTAGTGGTTCAGAATCTATCCTGCTAATTTAGGTGATTGCCTTAGCAATGCATTTTTAATAGTGTTAACAAAATAAAAAGTTGGGCTCACTTATATGAGTTTAGGAATATATAATTAATTGGTTATTATGTCAAATCAAACATCTCAAAACTCACTTCTTTAAATTATAAAAAAAATTTGCAGGCAAGCCAACTATGTTCTAGTTAGATTAAAAACAAAATTTTCTTGTCAATTATTTTTATTGGAAATAATAAATAATTGACCTTTTCTTCTGTTCCTATATGTTAAATAATTAGTTTTTTTTTATAAGTTCTATTTCAAATATACACTTTGAGGATTAAAGACTATTCATTTTTACCAGGGACCTACAGAGGTACCATTTGTACAGCCCATCCCGGATTTTTTAAAAAAATTTTTCTACCCGGCCTGGGTTTTTTTCAAAAATTATTTTCGGCCCGCTGTAACGTGTGAAAGTGATCTATGAGATTTCGAAATCTCACTCAATCAAAATCCCACATATGGGTTGTGAGATTTGATTTAAATGGCCCCCAATGTTTTTGAAGCTATAAATCTAAAGCAAAAATTTTCATGACATGAATTTAAATATTAATAATATAATATAGATATAATAATGGTATAATTATAATCTATGTTTTAGAATAATATTTTAATAACGCTTTGCAAGATATATATTGTTTCATAGAGCTCATCTTTATTTTTTTAAGATTATTAAGTCAAATAATGAGAGATGTAAAATCAAGGAACAATATTAAAGTGAATTTAGGAAAATAATTCCCCGGAAAATAAATCCCCGGAAATAAATTCTCCAGAAAATAATTACTAGGAAATAAAATACCCGGAATATAATTCCCCAAAAAATAATTCTCCAGAAAAAAAATTCCCGGAATAAAATTCCCCTGGAAAATAATTCCCCGGGAAAAATTTCCCCACTATATATAGAATTGCTAATGCATTGCTAAACTGCATTGCTAAATAGCAATCAATCATAAATAAATCAAAATTTTATTATGTATATTTTATTAATAATAATTTTTTAAACTTTTTTTAAAATATACAATCATTTTTTTATTATAAATGAAGAATATAATAAAAAATTATATAGTATATAATTATATTTTTATTTAATATTATTAGTAAGAAATATATATTTCTAGCTTATTAAAACAAAAGTACATTTTATTCAATTTTAAAAATTAACAAATATATATCCGTAAGAGGGCGTTATATGTTTTAATATGTATCATTTCAGGAAACCAGAATGATGATTGGATAGCACTTTTTTTATATTTGGGTATATATTCATATGAAAAACCTAAAAATTAAAAATTTTTTTAGGTTTCTTTGATGTTTAATTTATGAGTAGGTTTTTTCTTTGATGTTTAATTTATGAGTAGGTTTTATTTCAATGTAAATTAAAATAATTAAAAATCGGACAAGCACACGAACAAAAAAGCAGGATTAAAGGAGTGCAGGAAAATTATTAAGGGAAAAATCGAAAATGACATTAATTACCAGGCCTACCCCCCCCCCCCCCCAGACTAAGTCCAATAATGTTATGAAATTGTCATTATCTTACATTATTAAAATAACCAGAGATAAAGAAAATTTCAAAGATTTTGAAAAATTTTTTAAGTAATAAAAATAACAAAATTATAGTTCTGATGAAATAAGCCGACTCATGCCTGGAATAAAAGATTGTGTATCTGTTAAAGGTGAGAAAGAATCAGCAAAGATTTATATTAAATAATCTTATAGAAATATTCAAGATTTTTAATGAAGAATACCCAAGTATATCAATTGGATTCTCTAAATTTGCCGAACTTAGACCAAAAAGCTGAATTTTAGTTGGATGTCCACACACTGTTTGTGTCTGCACCATTCATCAGAATGTGAAAATAATGACAAATGTAATAGCTGAAATTACAGCAGGAGAAGATTACTGTATAAATTCTTATAACAATCTTTTGGCGCAAATTATTTATAATCCATCTCAGCCAAAATGTTATTTAACAAATTGTGATCAATGCCCTGGTATAGAATCTCTTATGGGCCAATTATACGAATTGTTTCAGAGAAATCGTATAAAATATGTCACGTTTAAACAATGGATCATGGTGGATAGAGCAAATGAAACTATTATAAAGTTCATTGATGGTTACATCGAATATCTATTATAAAAAGTTCAAATTTTACTGCGTCACTCGTTTATAGCTAAACACAAAGTTTATTTTTGAAGAATTCTAAAGAAAATTTAAAAGATGATGAATTTTTAACAATTCTAGATTATTCTGAGAATTATTCCTTCATTTTACAAGATGAAGTTCAGGCATTGGAACAATGTGCAGGCCACTATACATCCATTTATAGCATATTATAAATCTGGAGAAGAATTAAAAAATATAAATTTTGTTATTTTGTCCGAATCATTAAGCCATAATACTAGTGCAGTCCACCTTTATCAAAAAAAATTCATTAAATTCTTAACAGCCAAATTTAATTCTAAACCAGAAAAAATAATATATTTTTCGGATGAAGCCGCGTCTCAATACAAGAATCGCAAAAATTTTCTGAACATATGCCTTCATAAATACGATTTTAATATTCCTGCCGAATGGCATTTCTTTGTCACTGCTCACGGCAAAAATGCATGTGACGGTATCGGAGCAACTGTTAAAAGATTAGTTGCCAGAGCTAGTTTTCAAAGGCCAAATAAAAATAAAATCCTAACCCCATTAGAATTATATAATGATGCTAAAGAAAATATTAATGGAATTCAATTTGAATATGTATCCAAAGAATATATCGAAGAGGAATTAGCCCTTCGTAAAAGATTTAATTCTGCACTGCCCATACATGGGACCCAAAAAATTCACGGGGTTATTCCCATTGATCAAAATAGACTAAAAACCAAAAATTCTAATTCCAAAAAATATAATATAAAACAAGTTTCATTTTTAAATGAGAAAATTATATTTCAAAATATTAATGGATATATAACATGTGTATATGATGATAAATGGTGGTTAGGATATATAATCAATAAAAGTGATATAAATGAAGAAGTAAAAATCTGATTTTTACACCCTTGTGGACCTTCAGCCTCATTTAAATTTCCTCTGAAAGATAATATTTTAGTGTTGCCTAAATCTCATATTCTCTCGCTGGTCAATCCTTCTACTCCCACCAGTCGAACATATATATTATCTCCTGAAGAATCTCACAAGCTAGCCAGGCTTTGTATTCCTTTAGATGAAGTTAATTAATTTATAAACTATCTTAATTAGGCAAAATTTGTGAAGATTTTAAAATTTTATGATCTGAATTACAAATAATATATATAATGCACATTGTAATCGATTTAGTATGATATATATACATTAAAATATTTTTAATCAATAAAAAAAAATTTTTTTAACATATTAAAACTATTATATATAGCGCCATCTATTTTTTTTAAGTATAATAATCGCAATATTTTTTTAAATAAATATCCAGCCATACTAATTGTCGAAGAAATTATTAAAAAAATAGTAAACGGAATATTTCTTAAAAAAATTAAAAATTGGAGATCATATACATTTCGAAATATTAATTTCAAGTTTTCAACTGACCATAAAATGACCCATATTTTATCAAAAATTAATTTTGATGTTTTCGCCATAATCATCTATTATTAACTTGGCTATTGATATTAGATTCAATATTTGATCATATTTAGTTTTAAATTAAAAACTAATTATTTAACATCAGTAAAAAGCAAAAAAAAATGTTTTTTGGACCTTTAACTCCGAATATCTCCGCTAATATAGTTTCTAATGCGCTAAAATTTTGTTTATAATCTAATGGGAACATATATAACCAGCCTACGATTTTTTATCGAAATCGAAAGGGGTCGGCCGAAAAGTAATTGATTTGACATGGAATTACCCTAGAGACAAACCGCCTTTTCTAACCAAACCTCTAAATATCAGTACCCACCCTCTGTAAACACTGCAAAGAATAAGTAAGATAAATTTTTAGCCTAAATGGTTTAATCGTAATGTTTATACTAAATTGGGTCACCAATATTAAAATAAACTTCATTTGGCATCAATGAAAGAATAAAAAAAATAAACGAAGAACTTTATTGATATAAATATTTATACATAATTTTAAATTTAATAAAAACATGGAAAAATATAATTATTACCAAATGTTGCACATCAGAATGAATATATTGAATTATATTTATAAATTACAACTTTCATTAAAAAATATATCAGGCGGAATATAAATTATAAAGAATGAAATATATAATATTTCCTCAATTTTATTTTGTAACTAAATAATAATTAAAAATATAATAGTAAAAATTATTTCTACTGTAAGAGGACGTCGAGGTTTCTGACCATACATCAGTTCATAGGGTGAAAATCCCGTGGAAGAGTGTATACAAGAATTGTAGGTGCCACATATCCCTACTAAAGCATCTGGCCAGTCAGTTGGGATATCCAAAACCGATTTTGCTATTTGGTTCTGGATTGTTCTGTTAACTCGCTCAACCAAACCATTTGCTTGTGGGTGGTAGGCTGAGGTTATTCGCTGAACAATCTCACAATATTTATGGAATTCTGTACAAACATTGTTACAGAATTCCCTACCTTGATCATTAATCTGAATCTTTAATAAATATATATTTTAGATTTATTAAATTTAAAAAAAATATGCATTATTCAAATAAGTTATTTTTAATTTTATTACTTCATAACATTGGTGAGTGTTGACAATGATTTATAAGACTTTAAGAACGGATTTGGCTGTTTTATTCTTAATAGGAATAGCCATTAAATATTTGTAGAAATAACAAATGGCACATAAAATATATTTATAATTTTCTTTGGATTCAGGCATCTGGATTAGATCAATACCAATTTGATATCAAGATTTTGGAACCACTTTTATATTGTGCAACACATTTGAAGTTTTATCAAAACGACTGCTTCATTTTTGACAAACCTCACAGCATTTGATAAACTACCTAATGTCTTAAGTGCTGCCCAACCAATAAAAGCTGTAAAAAATTAAATAAGATAATATTGTATATTTTTACTTTTCCGTTATTATCTGGTTAGTTTTATTAATCCCCAGATGCCCTCTCATAGCTATTCCTGGGACTGTAGATACACCTCCCTCATGTATTCTTTTAATTATATTATTTTGTTCATCCTTAGTCCATAAAACCTTTCTTTCTTCTAAAATAATATATCATTAAAATATATATAAAATAATATTATGTGATGGACAAAAAATAAATACAATCAATGGCTTAAATATGTTTTTTGAAAATTTTTGTACATTATATAGATAATGCCAACAAAGAAAATGATAACCCTATAGTTATTAATAAAAATATTACTATTCCTACTTTTAAAAGATATTATATTATTTCCAGAGTTGGGCAGTACCGCGAATACTTGTATCTAAGATATAAGATCCTCTTGTATCTTGTACTCAGTATCTTATTGACATTTTTAATAAGATACTAGTATCTGTATCTAAGATCCTTTATTTTGAAAAGAATCTTATATCTTTTTCATTTTCTTTAAAAAGATACAGATTCTTTTTAATATTCATGTTTAAAACATTTACATATCACACAATGTAACTTTATTTTCTTCGTGAAATCTTGTATTATTTTCTTTATTTTTTCCTGCTATATTTTAAATATATTGATAACCGGAAATTTTACAGATCACAAAAATAGATAGATTAAAAATAACAACACCGAAACTAAATAAGTAAAGGTTATATTTTATATGTAATATTTTTTAATTTGTAGAATGTTTAACATTTATAGTAGTGAAGATGAAATTATGAAGATAGGTTCTCCTGATCAGTTATAGTTTATATTCAATTCAATTGCAATTCTAAAAGTATAGAAAATATTTTTATTGTTAAATCACTTTTATATAATAAGTAATAACATTAATCTACATACATATTAAGTAATAAACAATTATATTATGAAATTTGAAATAAATATTTAAAATAATATTTAACATTAATATAGGGAAGATTTCTTTTTAGAAATACCAATTTAGCAAGTTTTTATTAGAGGGAATATTTAAGCTACAATTGATATATAATATTAGATAATTTTAAAAGACTCTTAATAAAATAATAAGGTAGAATTTAACTTTATTAGTTACTTTTATTTATTTATGATATAAGTAAAATTATATTACAGTATTAACCTACAAAATTTAATCAATTTAAAATGCATTAAAGAAAATTGTTATGTATTTAATAATTAAATAATATAATGTTGTACATTATTCTCATATTTTTTATATATAATTAATGATTTTGCAAGAAATATATTAAAAAAATTGAAAAGAGATTTAAGTGATATTTATATATATATGATATTACAAATGCACGAATTAATAAGTCATACTAGAAAATAAAACTAATTTAAAAAATTATCACAAACAAGTAATGATAAATACTTATTAAAGATAATGAATAAAATACAACTAGTATTATTTTTTTTAAAGATGCCATTTAGCCATATACTCCGAATATAAGCTATATTTAAAACAACACAGAAAATAACTTGCATATTCCAATAAATCATTTATTTTTTTTCTTAGTTGCACATTTTCAACTTCCATTAAATATACTACTCTCCCTTCCCTGTTTAAGCTATTAATCTACAAAAATTAATATTAAAATCCCTGGTTTCGACCCGACCCGTCCCAAATTTTTTAAAAATATTAGGCCCGGCCCTAACCCGATCATTTTAAATAAAATTAGGGCCTAATCGTTGGGGCCGGACCGGGTACGGGTCGGTCCTAACTTTGCATATCTCTAACTCCAATATTACTGAAAATATTTTATTTTACTATATACATTTATTACACAAATCCCAAAATTCATCTAAATTGAATAATTGCACAGAATTTATTATTATTATAACGTTACATTTATTCTATAATGATAATTAATACTTTAGCAAATTTAAATCGCAATAGTTTTTCAAAGTTTTATCCGGCAAACAAGATCTTTTTCTCACAACATCGCTTTTCTTTACGAAACACCTGTTAAATAGATGCTGAGTAGTGTTGTTAAACATTTTTAGCTAACTAAATATTTTATCCAGAAAAATATTACGCAAACTTCAATATTTTGTTCATAAATGGGAGAAACATTTGGAAATTTATTAGCAAATCTAGTGGCTTGGGCAATATTTTTCTCGCTAAAATGTGAAGTAGGTTTTTTAAAAATCGGCTCAAATCGAGCCGTTTACCAACACTAGTGCTGAGAATGAGCGGTATATTATAATTTATAAATTGTGTTTTACTGTTTGGAAATTATTTAAGCTCGATAAATTTTGATAGTTATTATTCTGGTCATTAGACATATTTTCAAAAAGGTGCTTTTTATCATGGGAATGAGTCTTGGCACTAATTTCTTTCATAGATGTCTTATTTTTATCAATATCTTTCTTCAAAACAAATATTTCTTCATTTGGTCTTTAGGATAATGATGATTCACATTTAAAATTATTTTACTGAAAGAAGATAAATGAATGAGACACGCATATAATTTATTTTAAAAACTTGGCTTTATATTTGTTTTTTTTAAAATTTATATAATTTTTTTATATAAATATTTAATTTAACTTAAACAAAACAGTAATAAATCAAATAACGTTACTTTTTCTAATAATATGCCCCTCTTTTTTGAAAAATACTTTTGTAACGTATTACTATACAACATTATATTTAATACATTAATTATGCAAGTACTTAGATATCAAATTCCTCTTCGTATCTTATTAATTAATATATTGTTTATCATATGAGTACTTACCCCTTATAAATTTAAACTAGTAAAATCACTACCTATTTTAATATATTTCGTGAAAAAGATTCTCTATCATTGTTTTTTCCATGGATTCCTAATCAAAAAGAATTGAACTTACTGAACAATTTTTGTTGTAACAACGATCCTAATGAATCGATAATCAATACCAATACTAGCCAAACAACCTATAATAATATCAAGAAACGTAAATACACATCCGAATATAAAATGAATTTGCCTTTAGTTAATTTCGATCATTCCACCTTCAACAGTTCTAGTTTGGGTAAAATTATTATTTGTAGATTTGGTATCACAAACATAGACTTATATTTATAGTATATATATAGTTCGTAGGGATATCTTATATTTAGGCAATGCTTCGTCGACACCGGTTTGTAGCTTCATAAAATTCAAATATAGCGTTCGTTTATTTTTATTTTAAAGACCTAATTTTGCCGGAATCATTTTCCAAAAAGTATCTACCTTGTGAATTTCAGAAAATTTTGCTACGAATTTTTGATTTTTTAAAATTTACTGTAAGAGTAGTTCAAAGGTTCACGCAAAATTATCTGAAATTCACAGCGTAGATAGTTTATATACTAGAATATAATTTAGGGGCCATTCCATGTCAAAACCAAGTAAGGTTCTGCCGACTTCTTTCAATTTTGATGGAAATTTATATATAAACTAAGATTCTTGTAATCTAAACTTGGGCAAAATTTTAGCCTCCTAGCTTTTATACCCTTGAAGATATTTACGGTCAAAGCATGAAAAATTACCCATTTTGCCAGTGTCTATATTCATTAATTTAATGATTGATTAAAAATTATGCTTTTATATATTAATAAATCTAGTATTAAAATAAAGATTATACCTTTTATATTTCTGGACCTCTTATTTCCAAAATAAAATTTAAAATTCTGATAATGAAATTGGGTAAAATAGATTTTTATGAAACTATAGATAAACATTAATTACCATTCTATATGATAATAATAATTAGAGTGGAACCAATATGATTTCATAGCAAAATCTATATAAACCAGTAAAATATGAAAAAAATTTTTTTTATACTATACATGGCTTTTTATAGAGCTGTGCCGATTAGAGGTCTGCAAAGTAATTTTTCACAGCCCGACCCTAGCCCGAATTTAAAAACTTTTTGTCCGAGCCCGACCTGAGCCCGAAATAAAAAACTTTTGTCCGAGCCCGAGCACACATTTTATACTCCAACCCGAGCCCGAATATAATTTTACAATTTGAGTTTGTATATTATAATAACCAAAAAAAATTATGTGTATTTATTCATCGCCACCTTAAATAAAAGTTTATTTGACGGCCTTAATCTATTCAAGATATATATTAAGTTGCATTTTATTTAATTTGTAAAAAATATTATAAAAAAGCTAAAATACAATCGAATCTAAAAATTATAAATAATTTAACTATATTTTCATATATTTGTTATCAGCACATCGACCCTTTTTCATATATGCGTTTAATTTCGGAAATAATTGCGTCAGCAGTATCTATTAAATTTCTAGAAATTGTGAGATTTGAAATGATGCTTTTAACATCAATATTTTCATATATTGAACCATTTTTGACAAAATGTTGGCAACAATCAACAAAGCCTTCCCTATGAATTGCATCAAATGATCTTAATTCACGTCCACAAAACATGGTGAGCATTTTTGTAAACTCTTTTTTTAATTTGGCACAACTTTTAAGTTTTTGGGATCAGTACCAAAAAGGCTATCAATTGTAAATTGAGTCTTTTTACTCTCTATTGTAAATACGCATTAATGCCTTTTTAGTTGATTTATGCCTAAAATAATTTCATAATATCACATTTGTATGTTGTTATAGAATTATAAGCATATATTTGCAAAAATTGCAACTTACATAATTAAGTTCTTCTTTATTTTCATCATATATAAATGAAAACGTTTTCCAGACCGCGGATTTGCCATTGGCATTTTCCCTATATTCATTGCTCTTAATCTTTTCACCAAATTTTTGAAATTGGCATCCATTGAAATAATTTTTTTAATATAAACCTTTATGTTGTTGATAGTTCAATATACTATAAATCATTTAAGGTAGATTTGCAATCTCGCCCAATATATCGCTTTTTCAGAACCGATCCTATATTTATATTGATTTTCACCCCCCATTGAACTAAATGTAATTAAGAAATCAATATTTTTTATGCAAAAAATTTAATTATTCATTTAATTTAATTTTTTTTATTTCTACAATAATTAAAAAAAGTTTACGGATATTGTTAGTATTAAATAAATTTTTCATTATTCCTCCCCGTGAAATTGGAATTCCGCAGATAACGCATTTTGTAAAATTATCTTTGTCTTTTGTAAAATATTTCCATAATTCAGATACCATATTTAAAAAAATTCTTTTATTTAAAGTATAAATATTAAAATTGGCGTTATTATTTAAAAAGATTTAAAATAAATAAAACTTTGGGTGTTCCCTTCTATTTTTTTAAAAAAACTTTATTGTTTTAAAAAAAATTATTTAGAAAATATTACACTGTAACAAATTTCGACTTGATTTTTTGGGAGAAAATAAATTAAACATGTTTTAAGACAGTTTTTTATGTATATTCTAAATCCGCTGTCAGTCTAGCATGTCAGGTTTTTTATTTATTTTAGGTTAAATTGGCCAAAGAGGTCATTTTTAGCACTTTTTGAAGGTTTATAACTTCGGTTCTAATATTCCCTACAACTAAAAAATATCTTTTTGCAGCAAACCTTCCTTATTATTATTATACATTATTTTTTATAAAATCCTTACTCAATTTTTAAACAACCTATATTTTTTAAATTTACCTTTATTTATAAAATCTTTTTTAATATAGCTTACATTTAATATATATTTATTGTGTTCGTTCTCTTCGCTACACTGCACACGGTACGATTCCCAAACAATTTATTTTAAATGAAATAGTTATATTTCTCATATTTAAATAAAAATATTATGCTAAGCTAACCTATCTCATATTTTACTTTTAATAAACCTTTTATCGGTCCGTTGTCCCACCCCCTCCTTCATTATTATATAGGATTTAACTTGTAATATACAATAAATTTATTGAATTTAAAACAAATTAAACAATAACATAAAATTTATCGAATTTAAAAACATTTAATGTTAAATCTAAATATATTTCCGCGAATATGAAGTTGATGATTTATCTTCAAAAAAGATACTCCAGCAGTAGTCCGCCAACATATTTATACGATTCTTGCCGTGATAAAACTTTTAGAGATTTTCTATCTGTTGATGGAACCGCTCCCCCTTTTCTTCTGACACAGCACCTAAGTTTTCAGGGAAAAAATCTTTATGGGAATGATGAAAATGGATTTTGAGGGACATTCGGCATCCCATTTCCTTATAATTTGTTAATAGGTCATCAATTTTTTCACGATAGTCGGCTGATTTATGATTGCCAAGGAACGATCTGCATATCCATTTAAAAGATTCCCATGCTTTTAATTCAATGAGTAACAATTCATCTTCAAAAAAACTGTCCTTCATGAGTTTTCTTATTTGGGGGCCCACTAAAATCCCCTCTTTTATTTTTGCTTGGGAAAGCTTGGGGAAAAAATTTCTAAGGTATATCTTGGGGCCCTCGGACAATTTTTTGATAAAATTTTTGATTAGTCTTAATTTTATGTGCAACGGAGGCAACAAAATCTTATTTTTAGAAACAAGCGGGATATTTACGCGATTTTTTTCAAGAACGTTGGGACGATCCTCCCATTCAGATACTGTATAATGTTTTAGAGTTTCTCTGGAATTCCAGAGAGGTGTAGCCTAACTGAAGGCCTGTCAGGATTGCGATCATTTTGAGATCGCAGCATATCTTAAATTCGTAAATGGAATAATTTATTTTGACAATAAATATTTCATATGATTCATTTAACTGGTTGGAATAGGCGATGGGAATTGATGGCTTAGAATTTCCGTTATGAAGCAAAACTGCTTTCAAACTGTTTTTGCTTGAATAGATGGATGAACAAGCGCCATTTATCGGGCACCAATTCAATATTAAGTTGTAAAAAAGGTTGACCTAGATTGTTGGAATAGTATAAAAAATTTTTGTAAGAGAATAAATTTTTAAACGATGCTCTACGGAATCGGTATGAAGTTCGAACTCCATTTTTTAAAATCATTAAGCCTTGAGGCTAAAAATTCGGACTTTCTTTTTGAATTCTGGTTATGTCATTTAGTTGCTCTTGTGACATAAATGGCGTATCTTCTTCGGGATGATACTCAAGATCAATATTGTCATTGTCCTGGCAACGTAATTTTTCCAGCTACGAACTATTAAAAAAAGGAACTTTTGTATGCAAATTTTACCGGATAAACAACCAACGAAAATTCAGGATATCGAATTTTCTTCTTATTTTTTTTATTAAACCCAAATGTATTAATCGAGCAAAAATAACAATCCCACGAATGATTTCTTGCTACTTGCCAAAATGCAGGTTTCGAATAAGGCAAATATGACCGTTTTCCATTTACCCATGAATTAAAAGAATTATAACATGTTTTACATATGTAATTAGGGGCAAATAATTTCCAAATCGCAGAGTGGAATATAGTAATAAATTTCATAAATCCTTTGAATGATTGGAGAAATTGGACATTTTTGTGCGGGCAATATATAGCCCGCACAGATGTAACAAAATTTAGAGACACACTTTAAACAAGAGGACCTCGGCATTAATTTTTTGTAGAATATTATATAAGGAGGGAATTTGAATAATATTTAAAATCCAATTTAAAAAAAAAATTAATGAAAGAAATTAAATGTTTATGAAAAATTAAGCGCGAAAATAAATAATTCTTCTCCTTTCTTCCTAGTTCCTACTCGTTATTTGGCATTATTATTTATTGCCCATACTACGGGTTCAAGGTACTCCATTGGAAAATCATATATTTTGATATAAATTGATTAAAAAAACAAATATTCTTAAATACATCTAAAAAAGATAAATATTAATAAAAAATTACCAAATATTGCATTTTAAATGAATTTTGCTTCAAAAATGCTCAATTCAAAAAGAGTACAAATTAAAAAGGTGGGTACCGATATTTGATTTTGGTATAAATTGATCATAAATGCATAAAATATTACTAAATACAACTAAAAAAGATAAATATTACCTTAATTTTGCTTTAAAAATGCTTTATGCAAAGAAAATTCAATAAAAGTGTACAAATTAAAAAGTACGAAAATATCTACCGACTTTT